CGCGGCGCAAAGAAACAAATAATCGCCGCGACGTTTCATCCTGGCCGTCCACGGTTTATCGGTTTTCGATGGCGATTCTTCCGGCAGGGCTGAGGGGACGAGGCAATTTCGTAGCAGCCCTCTATCCCGAGGGATGATCGCCAGTGAAAGGGAACTTTTGCGCCCGTTACAATTCCGTTTGAGCGTTATCGGAGCGTGGCTCCGTGGACTTTCTTCCTCGACGACGGCGCACGGGGACGTAACTTCATTAAGGAACCCCAGGTCAGTTCGCCGGGGGGATCTGTATTATGTCGGATCGGAAAATAGACAAACGGGAGGAGAAAGAGAACCACGAGGAGCACGCCGGGAACGAAAATTGCGCGATCTCGGCTTGACAGGCTTTTCAGTACCGAGTTCCAAGCGAGTTTCGCGAACCCACTGTTTCCATTCACCGGAGAAACTCGTGGGTTCGATGCGCCGCAGAAAAACTGCGGCCATTGTTGCGGACGAACGAACGAACGACGTGACGCAAAGGAACGACGAGGAAAGGCAGGTTGCGCCACGATTTTCATGGTTTTCGAAATTTCATAGTCGATATCACTTGGCTACGGAGTACGTAAGAGTGTCGAGTCTGTCGAATAACCGATGAACAATCATCAAAAATCTCTCGCGAAAGTCTCACGATGCAATTTCGTCGTTCCAGCCAGAATTGCGGAGCTGGACCCTCTCATCGCAGCGATTATACCTCAATCGCTTTCTTCAAAAACAAAGTATTTAAACGAAAAATCGTGGCATCTTATATAACATTTCATACTCGATGTACAGTAATGTCTCCCTTACCGACGCTCAGATTGTCCACTAAAATAGATAATTTGGAAAGAGGAGATACAATTATTCGAGCCTTGCGGTTTATTTTTATGGTTATAGATTGTCCACAATTATAAAAACGAGGAGATACGATTATTCGAGCCTTGCGGCTCGTTTTTATAATTATAACTATAAAAATAAATCGCAAGGCTCGAATAATCGTATCTCCTCTTCCCAAATTATCCATTTTACTGGACAATCTGAGCGTCGGTAAGGGAGACATTACTGTACATCTGTCTCTTATACACATCTAGATGTGTATAAGAGACAGATGTACAGTAATGTCTCCCTTACCGACGCTCAGATTGTCCAGTAAAATGGATAATTTGGGAAGAGGAGATACGATCTGTCTCTTATACACATCTAGATGTGTATAAGAGACAGATGTACAGTAATGTCTCCCTTACCGACGCTCAGATTGTCCAGTAAAATGGATAATTTGGGAAGAGGAGATACGATCTGTCTCTTATACACATCTAGATGTGTATAAGAGACAGATCGTATCTCCTCTTCCCAAATTGCCCATTTTTGTGCGCAATCTGGGCGTTAATTAGAGAGACATTACTGTAACTTGGCAATTGTTAAGTCGCTTAAGTAACCGGTGAACAACTTCCGCGAAAGTCCCACAAATCTCAAATTAATTTAACGAGCGTAGTCGAAGCTACAAACCTGATAATAATTTAGTTCGAAAGATAGACATAGAATTGTGAGTGAATTTAGATTCAGTGAAACTACTGGATCTAAAATTAGTTGCTCCGCCTTATCTGCTAGGTTCCAGTGTCAACAGAAAGGTTCAGTTAGGTATCTGGATGAGACACATCGATATCCTTGAGGAGTCGATAAAAATTCCAGTAGATACTAGAATTTATCAGCGGTCCGTATCATGGACATTTCTTTTTACGGACAGGAAATGTGCATGAATGTTTGATGGTCTTCTAGACGAGGTCTAAGACGTTCCGTCTGGCAAGAAATCGATTGGCATTCCCGAACGCGAGGAATGCGAGACCCGCTCGCGTCGACGTCGAGCGACTCCGTTTGATTTCCTTGCCGTGCCGGACTGTCGTGCCGTCGGTTTTGTCGTTTCAATTGCGCCGTTGACTCAGGGTCGCTGATAGCAACGGGAAATATTTGCGATTCCCGCGATGGTGTACCCCGGCTCGATAAATCGTATCGCGTTGCCGATGGAGACGAGATAGTGCGATGACGAGTCGCGTCATCAATGGCATAACGAGGAGCATTTATCCTAGCCTTTCGCAGCTTTTGGTGAGCAATGCCGCAGTTATTTCTGCGACACGATTAGCTCGACGGAAGCGTCCGAAACCGAATTTGTTTTTCAAATGTCTCTCTTACTCGAAGAAAGAATCTCGTGAACATCGGATTGGCTCAGCGGTTATGATTCAATGTAAATGCAACTGGCGTAAAGTTTAACTTGATTCGATGCTGGTAGCAAACGCGTCAAGCCATAATTCCCTATCGCTTATGGCTCTCAACCCCTTTTCAAATTCATTTTCATCGCTGCCATCGAACTTTCCAAATGCATTTATGCATGCAATTTCGTAATCTCGCGAACTTAAATTAACAACGGACCAGAGATCAAATAACTTGAAATATTAACACGCTCTGTATTCTTTCGGTTGGAAAATTGAATAGTCAAAAAAATCCTAACAGCGCCCTGGCAACCCCTGAATCCTGCCGTGCTCGATGATAAACGCCCACGCTGGGAAACGATCGGTTAACCAAATCGAGTCCTGCACTTTACCGAATCGTCTCCCGAGCTGTTCCTAATTTGCGCTGTGTTGTCGCGACTGTTTTCTGGATCAACCAAAACGCGGTTGACGCTCATCGACAAGATTATCGACGGTTGGAAGAGTTCTCGCGATTCTGCGCACGTGAATCTTCCTCCTGTTGCCGGTGTCACTGGCAACTGTCGAACGCAGGGCTATCTTAGCAACAGGAAACATCGGGCGTGTCAAGATAAGCCTCCCAGCGGAATGAGAGTCTCTGGCCATGCAAAACGAATTACCGCTGCACGCTGCGTCCTTCTACCCGACTGCTCCCCGCAAAAGGGAAATCGGGGTCCAACGAACATCCCGAGAAAAAAAAAGAAAGTACGATACGATGCAACGTTATTAATAGCACGACGGGCCGCTTGTATATTTATCGGTCACCTTTCCGTCATGGGAATCGGGAATAAGATCAACAACCTGCGTTTGAACCTTGCACTTCCAGCAGGAAATTTATCATGCTACATTGTCTAACTAGCTGTCGATTCCTTGAGGATGCACAAGCTTTTTGTAAAAAGAAATTCGCCCGATTCGACTCTTAACACTTTTGAGTGCCGTGTCTATCAGAAGTGGACAAAAATTGACATCGAATCTATCTCTGTTTTGTACATAATTGTATATAATGTATCTATATAATAATAATAATAATAATATATATATATATAATCTATATTGTATATAATCTACCTCTATTTTATATCGCTAATTTGTACATATAATTCTGTTCATAATCTCTCCCCGATACTCCGGCAATCTTTTAAATCCTCGTTTAAAAATTCACTAGTTTTTCAAGGAACTTAACTACGCAGTGAAAATAGCCCGCTTAAAATATTTTAAAATTCAAGAAAATAAGGATTAGTACAAAATGTTGTACTTCACAAAAAAGGAATAAAATTTATAAACGTGTGTAAATAATCCCCAGGATTGTCAATAATTTTTCTATCGACGTCAGCGATGCACTTTCGATGCATTTCAAATGTGGAAACAGTCCTCGACAAAATTTATCCAGTTTAATAAAATTCCACGTGTCGTTTAAAAATTCAAATTTCTTTCCATTTTTCGAGGTTCCCAGAGGCGCTTCATTAATTTCATTTGTTTCAACACTCGAATGAATCGTTTCAGTAACGAACAAGCAGATGTTTTATTCTACATTAGACTCCGGTAAAAAAAGCTTGCATGCAAATCGTGTTCGGAGCATTGCACCGTAAATATGCAGATGCACTCGAATTATGTAACGCTCAAAGTTTCCCAGTGGTCGTTGCACGATCGACACACGCGTTCTTGCGACTGTCACCGAGGCCTAGCACGGCGGTATATGTTTCCGGAAAGCTACGTTTCCTATTCCCATTCGTTTGTTTTCCTCCGTTTATTGTCAAGGCAACAAACGAGAATTCGATTGTCCATTCGACGACGGTGAACGGCGTCAAGTGAAAAATCGTATTTACCCAGTATTTAGCTGATTGCGATATTTACAAAGAGCCAAATAATTCAGCTGCTTTCCTCAAAAATATATAAACACGTCAAACGAGAACCCGGAACGCTTGTATTTCACTTTCAGGGATTTTAAATTGACGTTTAAATCATGAAAGAAATTCTCCATTTTTTTTTTTAAGTTTCTAGTGTACCCTAACCTCGGGATTGTAACACATAAAGTACACAAACAATAATGATGCAACACGGTACATACGGTCCAGGCACTTGGCGCACTGTACGCACGTAAACGTCACGTAAACACAAATATTTCAGGTTAAGTTTGCAGTTAAGTCCAGGCTTGATACCACTCCGGATACGTTGCGGCGGGTGTAGAATGTACGCAGGTGTCCCCTTCGATCCTTTTTAGTCGTGCCCCATGATCGCAGGATTAGAATAATAAAAGAACAAAAAATTCGATCGAACAGGTTCCTTTCGGAACGATGCACGCCGCGCCGAGCCACGTCTTTCGAAATTCTTGACAACCGTCGGTCCATATTCGATGCATCGATTATCAATTACAATATTTGAGTTAATTGCATTAATCGGTAAAACTAATCACGATTAACTGCCGTCGATCGTAAGAATCGTAAAAATTTCGATCGACCAATGTGTTGACAATATATCCACTCCAAAGATTGCGTCTTCTATCATTTGATCAGCTCGGATTTTTATGGGTTTTACAGTTATAGTTAACGCGGTGATTTACAACGCGGTAAAAACGTGTTTTCGAAACTGCTTAGCATAACGTAGAAACTGCGGAGGATATAAATAAGAGTAGGTATATTTCGTAGTAACGATATGGTCAAACGAAAAGTTCTAGGGGGATTGGGGGACACGCGAGTAGTTAAACTCGCCATCGGGTTAATAAGAATCGTGCAACGGATTCAAGGTACTTACCGGCGAAGACTGTGTCCTGCAGATTGTACTTGCTGGATCCAGTTTTGCCGACTTTCGGGAAGTCCTTAAGCTTCCGGCCGCTGAGCTTGAGTTCGCCACTCAAGTGCGCTTCCTCCAGGATTCGCTCGAGGCTTCTGGTGAGCTGCTTCTGTATGTGGCCGCTCATGTTTGACGCGACCATCGCCATATTACATTTTTTGGGCACGTACACACGCGGAAGCACGGCAGCGAATATTCTTCTCCCCTAACAAATATTCTTCTCGTCTGCTCAACGAGGCAAGAATTCCTCGCAAACAAAAAAAGACACTGAACGCACACCTAACCGTCCCCGATGCTCGCTCCTGCGCTACTGATTCACCATCCGATGGAACATGCATCGGCGCATTCGACCCTAGCGCCGCCAATCTGACGCCATTTTGAAGCTTATCGAACCTTATCCGCGTTCGAGAATCGCAACAATCAACATTTAAAATTCTTCACAGTCCTCTAAAGTGGTAACATTCGAAAGGTCCTCTCTTTGTTATCAAGTGCAATCCTTTCGTATTAATCGCTTTGCCAGTTCAGTGAAGTGTGCGAAGAAGAAGAAGAAACAAAAAGAATCCTTCAATATCGTGAGAACTAAATAAAATTAATGATTCATCTATATTTTGGTAGTCAATTTTGTAATGAACGGAGATCCAGCTCCGGTTAGAGATGTGTATGAGATTTACATCGAATTTGATAATGTATATTACAAGTATACCTATATTTACAAATTACATTCAGTCATGTCGCATAATTGTACATCATACAAAGTCGATTTGATTTCTAATTCTACTTGAATGTGTATGTTCATTAATTTTTCACCTCGGCAACTACAATATTGTTTGCTATCTGATAATCTCTTATTATTCGTTGTTCCACGTTTGGCAAACAAGGTTTGTATCTGCAATATTCCATGGTAAATTCTCCCTTTCCTTGCGTGGATGATCTCAATTCTCCGGAGTAGCCGAACATATCGTTCAACGCTACTTCAGCGACTACAGTGAACCATCCTTCGGACGCGTCGGTGTTGAGCACTATGCCACTTCGTTTGGTTATTTGAGCTACGATTGCACCCTGCACAGACAAATAAATATATCATTATATATACTTCTTAGTCTTATCTTCCAATTATTAGGCTGCGGATTCTTTTGCGAAATAAAATGTTTCTATGTCGAGTGTAAGAAATGGAAGTTAGAGAAACGTTTGTTTCTTTATTTAATAATGTCATTATATCAAAAATAGCGTGGCAGTATTCTTAAATTATTTTAAAGTCTTTACAGGTTCGTATTTTACATACTCATTTTTGCTATGAGCGCATAAAATCCACTGTCTACGAACGACACTTACCTGAAACTCCATTGGGGCAGACACTTCTACCGTCATAATCGGTTCCAGTAGCTGCCAGGATCCTTCTCGAAACGCGTCCTTCATCGCACCTTCGGTAGCTAAGATGAATGCGAACTCGGAGGAATCAACACAGTGATGCTCACCATCGATTAATCTGAATCTAATACCCGACACTTTGTGTCCAGATAGTTGTCCATGTTCACACATGTGCATGAACCCCTTCTGCACACCGGGAATAAATTGTTTAGGTACGTTTGTTCCTACTGTTTCATCCCTGAACTCCACTTTAGTGTTTTGATCTGGTGGAAGTGGCTGAAACAATATAGCTGTATGATGTCGCGTTGCATGAATGAACATAGTATAGATCAACCAAAATACCTCTACTATTCCAATGACACGGGCAAACTGGCCAGCACCACCAGACTGTTTCTTATGGAGATAGTCAAATTCATAAGGTTCGCGTAGTATCTCACGGAAAGAAACCTTCGGCTTTCCAAGGATAATGGGGCAATTATATTCTCGTTCTAATCTTTGCCCATAGATCTCCAGGTGTAACTCCCCCATTCCCGAGACAACGGATTCCTAAATTGTGCAATTATCTTGTAAACCAGAGTCCATAAAATTAGTCAGCCATTTTAACTTAAGTTTATTTGTAAATTGTTTGTATGAAAACAATGTATCTTGATCTTAGGTGATGCAGTTAAATGACTCAGCATGCGTACTAAAACTTGAATAGGTTACCTTGTTGTCTACATCGAACTCGAATCTGAAGGTCGGATCCTCTTTGGTAAATCTTGCCATACCTTTCGCAAAGCTGTCTCTGTCTTTTGAGTTCTTCGGTTGGACGGACATGGATACTACGGCGTCAGGTACGTAAATAGACTCCATTGATAATTCAGAATTAGGAACGCTGACAAACGTGTCTCCTGATGCGCAATCTATACCGAACACAGCGAAAATGTCTCCGGCATAAACTTTTTCTACATCTTCCATTTGATTCGCGTGAAGCCGTACTAATCTTTGTACTCGAACCTACGGAACAATATATTAACAGAAATACTTATTGCTAATCGAAAGGTTAACTGACCTTTCTACGCGTTCTCGTGTTGTATAAAGTATCTGACTTGTTCAACATCCCTTGATAAGAACGGAAATAAGTTAGCTGACCAAACCTACCAGCTTCCAATTTAAATGCTAATCCGACAAATGGGTTCTTGCTGTTCCTTTCAGATTTTAAGAGGATTTTAACCGTCTCGTCCCTGTAAACGGGATTATAGATATAGTAAAAAGAAATAAACAACTTGTGAGAAGGTATAGAATGCATCAGAGCACCTTTTTCCCTCAAATGCATAATTGTCGACTTCGGCAGGATTTGGTAAATAGTCTAAAACGGCATCCAACAATGGTTGAACACCTTTATTCTTTAATGCAGTTCCGACTAGAACGGGTGTGAAAGTTCTTTTTATACAACTTCTTCTGATAGCATCTTTGATATCATTTTCAAGTATCTGGACTTCATTTAAATACTTTTCGCCCAAATTGTCATCGACATTGCTCAAATGTTCGATTAATTCTCGTTTAGCATTGTTTACCTCTATGTAGACATATATATATATACACTCAGTTGAGGTGATGTTACTATACAATCACAAAATAGTTGTTTTATATAGTCATTATATGCTTATTCATTACCTGCTCTCATATCAGCTGGAATTTCATCTTCTCTTACAACTTCACCATAGTTTCCCTCAAAATACAGTGCTTTTTGAGAAACAATATCTACTATCCCTTTACAATTATTCTCTAAACCAATGGGTAGCTGTATAAATGCAGCATTATGGTTCAGTTTACCACGCATCTGATTGATTACTCTCTTATGATTTGCACCTAACCTATCCAGTTTGTTAATAAATGCTAGGCAAGGTACATTATACCTTTTCATTTGTCTATTTACAGTCATCGTTTGAGACTGAACACCTCCTACAGCACATAATACAAGTACAGCTCCATCCAAGACTCTCAGAGCTCTTTCTACCTCTACTGTAAAATCTACATGACCAGGTGTATCAATGATATTGATATTATAATCTTTCCACAGTGTATAAGTTGCAGCTGACTGAATGGTAATGCCTCTTTGCCTTTCCAATTCCATGCTATCCATAGTTGCTCCAACATTATCTTTACCTTTCACCTAATTTACAAATGAATGAAGTAGAAGTATAACAATTTTATAAATATTATTTTTCCTTACCTCGTGCATTTCAGAAATTCTGCCAGTGTAAAATAATATACGTTCAGTCAACGTAGTTTTTCCAGAATCAATATGAGCAGATATACCAATGTTCCTAATTTTATCTAACTCTTTATGCTCGGCATGTTTCGCGAAATTTGACGAAAAGCGGGAATTCTATGAGTATAAAACAAAGTTAAAAAGTGTCAATATCTATATATATTACATATAATTACATATCATTTAATTCTATAACCACTTTGTAACCTAAATTTTATAGAAGGTTAGGATAGTTACCTTGAAAACGTGCGAATGCACCTGTGACACAATGTTCAAATTGAACTTGTGTCTTAAAATTGTTATGATAGTCATGATAATTGATTTATTTCTTGACCGTATTCACAACAATAATTCTATTAGTTTTATTTTAAAGTTTACTCCTTGCCACACTTGCTGCTACATACAGCATGTGGATTGATACTGATGTAAACGAATTATGACGAACATAGCCGACAATAAACGATGTTACTTTTGCTAAGAACCGCCAGATTTAGGATTCAAAAAAAATAAAAGAGGTTCTACAAAAGAATGGTTTATTGTGTGAATCACTTAATCATATATATTTTATTATTTTTTTCGTAATATCCTTATTCGAAGGTTTGTCTTAATATAAAATAGTGCATATCGCGAACAAAGGAATTTTACAATTTTAACAAAATAAAACACAACAAGCTTATTTTAACTAACTTATTACTGTTCTTTTATGCTACAAATATTTACATTGAGCTTACGAGGCCGGGAAGTACAAACGTCATAGAACTTAAACAATTATATTTTGTGCTCAAGCGTTAAATTCATTTTTACACATTCTTCTTAAATAATGTTTACTATATCCAAATGCACTTTGCAATATATTGTCAATAACATATTTGTCTTTTTTTTAAGTAACTTATCAAATATGTAACTGTATTTGTAAAAAGATCGTTTATGGAACAAGTAAACTGGCATAAATATTACTTTAATAATCTTAATAATTCTTTTTGTTAGGCTCAAAATACATGTTTAGAAATACATTATGCATTTTACAAAGTCCAAAGGAAATTCAAGAAACTGTGAAACGAATAATATATAATTAATAACATTAGAGTCTGTTTCTTGAAAGGTGAAACCTGGTGTAAATCTTTCATCGTAATAAATGTTCACTTCGCCACGATTATTTTATTTAGTTTCTCGGAATAGTGTGGAGAACTATTATAACCATCGATATATCTTGAATCTCTTTTTTTTTCAAAACATAGACAACAGTAATTAATACTTTGATGAATATTTTTACTGGATTGTCTTTGATCAATCGTGCATAATTCATTGAACCATGAACATCCAATTTAAATGCATGCAGACAATGAGAATCGTGATTTACACACATTACATTTATCAAAATACGTTTCTAATGAACTTCGTGCTACTAATTCGAACATACTAACATACATAACATTTATAAATAGCTGTTTAATCACACTGGGTAAACGTAGTTCCTTTATGTATGTTCTGATTTTGAATCAAAAGATCTTATAAGCACAAAATATACTTGCAAGGGTTAAATAATTAGCATAACATATGGAGTACACCTGTCAACGTCTCGAGGAGTTAGGACACTGCAGAGTTTTAAAAAGTCTGGTTAAAATACTACTTTGAACCCTAGAAAATAAAATTCAAAAGCATCCCGACAAAAAACTATTTTTGGACATATCTTTTTTAATGAACTTTTTATATTGTGTACAAGTTTCTCGGAAATTTCCCACTATAATAAGCCCACTATTCTGACCTTTTACGGTATCCCAACTCCTCAATGATATTCCAGTATATGCTGCTTGTATTTTGCATTTCATTATTCTTTTTATTTGTTTCAATACTTGAGTGTTGATAATGTGTTTTCGTAAAGAGTATAAAATCTGTCTTATTCTTATAAATTTTCTTTTCTGTACATACATTATATTTTGCTGGAGTCAAACTACAGCTATTATTATCCTTACAGTTAAAGACCTTTACAAATACATTAGTGTAATATCTGATTAAAAGCAAGTAACATTTTTGGTACTAAGTTTAGTCGGCGAATGTTTGTCGTCGTTGTCGCCGAAATCCATACCGAACGGTACGGAGTTCCAAATGGCTTTATCACTACGGTCATCTTCTTCGCTCAAAATATTGCACATCATTCGGTCGTCGTAGAGGGAAAATCTTGCTGTTGATTGTCCACGACCACGAATCTTTCTTACAGAGGGTGGCAGATCCCCTGGCGTCTTTATTCTCATGTGTGGATCCTTTAACACGTTCAGGTTCGACCCCACATTAAAAACTTCGTTGAATTTGTCGATGCTCTCCTGTCTGCTTAGATTGTTCTCGCTTTTTTTGTTTCTTAAATTGACAAGAGGCAGACTAGATGGTCGTGTATTTGTGTTGTTATCATTATCTAGCTTCTGTTTACCAATTTGCACAGCATTTTTGTCATTTTTGTCCAATGGAATGTTAGTTGCCGGTAATTTGGAAATAATACCGTTCACATACTTTCCTCCTGGAGATATCGTCACGTTCGTCTCGACCGTTTTGATTTGCACGTTCTGTTTCGATAGTAAATTCGACTTCGAATCTTCCCTATCTATTTGGTATTTATTGTACATATGCATCTTCTTATTGACGAGCAGTTTCTTCAGGTTCGGCCATCCGAACAACTTCTTTCTTGGACTTTCTTGCGCGCACACCTCGTGCACGTTTGTTTGTTTACGTTTGCCATATGCTGTCGTACCATCGTCGGAAATCACATTTTGGACGTAAGGTATAGGCGTTGCCGGTCTCAGTTGTGTCAACTGAGTCGTATGTTGGCTCAAGTAATCATGAGAAACCAGTCCTTGAGCCTCTGATACTATTTTATATTGATCGTTGCAAGCATGCTTCATAGATTTGTCCACCAATACGTTACCGTTACAGCCTAACTCTTCAAACGAGTCCGATTGTAACATTAAGTTTCTCTCCATGCACGGATTCCGTCCTTGATAAGGCTGAAGTGTCTGAGCGTGGTTGTATATTGCTACTTCGTTTGAATTTTTAACTGAAACGTGAAAGCAGATTACAGATCAGTTAAATGAAAAGTTAAATTGTCAATTTGAATCGACAATAAAATATTTTAATTTGTGATCGTTACTTACAACTATGCTCGTGAACGATGCTTTCAGAAGGCGACAGTGTTACTAAGTTTTCAACAATACCATCGTTACTTGTATTATCTTGTACCATGTGCAATGATAAATGACCGACATGAATGTTATCGTGATGAGACGTTTCACTGTAAAGACTGTTTGTAGTTGAAGGCACTAGGGTGCAATGGGAATTGACCATTGGACTCCCATCGGTGAAGTGCATAGTCACTAAAAGTTCATAAGTTTCTTTGTCAATGGTCTGTAATCATACTTGCATACTGTAATCACAAAATGAAACGTACCACGATGAGATTGTAGCTCTGAAAGACGTTCTTCTATACATAAAGCGGTTAACCGTGCTTCCGCGTCTGCGTCCCAGCAGTCTTCCATCGTTTCTCTGATCAAACGTACACCTGGTCTGTCTACTAAACTACCCTCTAGCAGAGGTCTAGCTTTATTACGCGAAACTAACACTTGCATCTGCTCGAATGTCGGGTGAAGTCCGATCTCCTTTTCGTACGGTTGTCTGTACATGGGTATCTCTGAACCTGGCATGTAAATATCCGAACATCTTGATACTAATTCCCACAATACTAGACCCATCGCGTAAACGTCTATCTGTTTCAAAGAGCTTTCGCAATCTCGTAAATTAACAGCGCCTTCCAATACTTCCGGTGCCATGTATCTTAATGTGCCGACCTAATTAAGGATTGCTATTATTAATTGTTCTGCATGGAGCAAATTAACACAGGGTTATAAGTTATTGTCTTACATCGTTGATTGATTTTATTTCGGCGTGCTGTTCCTCTCCGTTAGAATAGTATTTAGAACCAGAAATTTGTACCGCCAATCCTAAATCGCATATACAACAAGTACCATCGGCTTTGATTAATATATTTCTCGAGTTGATATCTCTGTGCGCGATACAAGGCTTAAACTTATCTGTAAAGAAGAGAGTCAACAGTTAAAAATGATCTTCAACATATTAGAGGAGTATTCATTTTATAGCCTACTTACCACCTTTGTGTATATCAGTATGTAAGTAAGCGAGTCCTTTTACCATAGAGAGACCCATTTTACAAAATGTGGGCCAATCGATTGTATGTGTTCTTAAGAAATCTGTCAAAGTACCACCTGGTGCAAAACTAAGTACCAAAAGATATTCAACACTGCCTTCCATGCTTACTCTTTCATCCACACCTGAAAATCAATAAATACTTTTAGCGATACTTTAGCGGATGAGATAAAAAAAGAATCTTGACAGGCAATACCATAATAGCTTAGTAAAGATGGATGTTCCATGAAGGGAAGGCAATAAGTATCCCGTTCGTTTTGGAAATAATTACGATAATGAGAAGGGAATATTTTCACAGCAACATCTTGGTCACCCATACTGCCTTGCCATACTGAACCATACCGTCCTTGTCCTAAAAATAATAAAAAAAGGTTTGGGAAACCAGTCTATGAGAATGTGTATATTTAATAATATTATTTAGTCTACAAAGAACATACCCACAATCGTTGTAAGTTTTAAATGATCTACTGTATAAGTACCAGTTCTCAGAGCTGTACTATCTAAGAACTGGTCTGTATATGAAAGTGGTTTCCCTAATCTTGCTAACATATTCATATGGTACATGCGATATACCATTAATCCTAAAATGAATATTATTATCAATATGCAAACCAGGGAAATTGTTATGATGAACATTAGCTTTCTAGAGTCTGATTGTTCCAAATACTCGGTTGCTGAAACAAATGAAACATTAGAAGTATTGGTAATTTAATAAATGCTAAACAATATTCTTCCTGCATTAATCTTACTTGGTTGATTATTTTCTGTGGTAATAGAGTTGTGCACTTTGTTTTCCGAGTACAAAATGTTGGTGCTGTTAATGTTGAGATTGCAATAGTCTCCATGACAACAGCAGAATTTTGTGTTGTTCAATGCTTTGGTAGAACGTTGAAGAGCAATACATTCTGAAGTTTCACATTTTTGTTCACCGGACTGTTTCCAGCAACCTAAACGATTAAGAAGACATGATTTATTTAAAAGATTATTTATAAACAGTTACGTAAAGAAAAAAATATTTCAGGTACCTTGGGATAAAATGATTATTTGTGTTCCATTTGCAGTCTTATCTTCTTGCCACAGTGCATGGCAAAAATTAGTACATTTCTCATATTTAATATTGTCATCTGGCTATAAAGAATGAATTAAAACACTTTAATATACTTAATGTTAAAGGCATGGTAAAATTCTCAGTTTACTTACAAAAGTATACTCTTATGATATAGTACATATATTTTTAACTTACTATGGTATGAACTACATTACTGTCGTTGGGTATATTTTCAGGTACACTGGGTATATGTTGTTTTAAAGAAAGATTTTCAATATTTTTCTTTCTGCTGGCACATATTCGAATGGCATTAATGGGTGCTGAATTTATCCCACACAGTAGCACGATCAATGTAATTGATACAATGGCTTTCATTGTGCCTTAGCAGACCTCTTGAGCTCAAACACTTCAACAGAAGCGTTGATCCTTAAGAAGTGGCATCTTTGATTACATCAACATATACTACTGCCATGTGTAGGCTTTGCTCATCTGTTCATTACATAAAATATAAATGCATTTATTACAAAATTGATAATGAATACAATAAATAAAATGTAGTTAATACCAAAAAATTTTATATGAATATTACAAAAAAGAAAGACATAATCAAACTTTGATAATTCAGTAATTAGAAAAGATTTAACAAACAAAAATCAATACAAATCCAATATTTGCGGACCAATAAACAATAATTCCTTTTAAGCTGTTTCTAGAATCTTTCATATTAAACTATCTTGTGACGCGTATGCATAAGTTACTATGCATACTATAAGCAATTGACCATGACAATTTCCAACAATGATAAAACTCTAACTTATAGAAATAAACTTAAATTTGTATAGGTCGAGCTTCGCTATGAATTCTAGTCGCACAGATAAAACATCTTAAACATGTAATAAATAATGCAAGTTAATCTAAATTTATATTGTCAGTTATAAAGATGTTTACAATAGAACATAAATAAATATTTTAAAAAGATAAGATTGACATACAGAGCAATCTAGGTACTGATCAATGTCAGAGAGTAATTAGATGCAGTAGTCAAGGAAAGTGAATATATTAAAGATTGATATTTTGTAAAAAGAGGATACTTGAATAACAACGCGAGTGTTGGTAAATTTTGGTGGATTACGTTGTTCGTAGATCGGATCTTTGTGTAAAAAATAAAAGCGGCGGCAATTATGACAGGAAAGAGGTGCAGTCTCTGAAAGAATGATGCCGTACGAATATCGGAACGATATTAAACTTGTTCCGCTGCGATATACACCGTACGCGCGTATAAAAAGAAGCGTGATACATGCTGGAAAAAATTAAGAATAGGAAAATGAAAAAGAAAATAGTAGTATCGCACGATATGTTGCACGAACGTTGAAAGAGACATATACTTACATTTTTCTGGACAGGTTTCTCGAGTTTCTTAGTCGAGAATCTTGAGAAGTTCGGTTTGATACCGACAGTATCATTGCACACATCCGTGAACGATTAGTAACAGATATTCAAAGTAAATACAGTATCAACGTTCAGATATTTGACAGACAAACCGTATCCATTGAATTGTAATTCATTCACGTGTTCGCAAAGACAACGTAAAACGTCAATCTCGTATCAGAGGCACAACATTATCGGTCTATGTAGTACTGCCAACTTTAGATATTGAACATTCGAATCGTTTGATTTGAATAAATAAATAAATTTGTACTATGTGCATCGTTCCGTTTTAATGAATTTTCAACAAAATGTATTATTGATTGCACGTTCTACGGACTAGACCATAGAATGCTTACGTACCGAAGCGCTTAATCAGTCGCCATTTTTGTCTTACACACAAAAAGAAACGGTTTCTTTATATTGCTTGTTTAATTATCAAACGAATTGATTGTGCTACACTTTTCAAATAGCTATAATTTTTTCATATGTAATTTATAAAATCGAAAGCAACCAATCAGACGTCATGTTTTGAACACAAGAGTTTCTAAAGCTATGCAGTTTAAGTTTGTGAGTGTTCGTACTAGAAATTCATGAATTGGCGCGCAGCGTCTTATGCGTGTTTTCGATGTTATATCGTGCAAATGGCGGCTTTCGCGATGTTTTGTTCGATGTTTCTTACAATTTAACTGTTCGTATCGTTCGTTGTGCGTAATTGACAAAGAGATAGCATCCGTCGCTTGACTCTATACTTGTGAAAGCTCACGGTCGACATGGTGAAGCTTCATAAGAAATTTTTCGCTGGTGATAAGGTGTTTGCGAAAGTTCGAGGTTATCCACCGTGGCCAGCTAAAGTAAGAGTAATCTTGGATATTATTAATTTGTCTCTAATTTATGCGAGAGCCTTAACAATCGACCATTGAACTGTGAACCATCTATTTCGAGTTAATTCCGTACTTAACAAATTATTTCTAATTAATAGCACTGCATCAATACAGCATGATGTCGGTGTTAACTCATTCGGAGATTATGTTTACCCGAAGTAAATAATAACGTTTAAATTTGATCATACGATCATCCGTAGATTACAACACACGACACAGTTAGCCTCTTGTATAAATATCTATATTTCTGCATCAAATAATTGAATTAATTAGATGAATTTAGTCTTATTTATATTTGTAATATAAAAATCGATGAATATAATATTACATAACTTGTGGTAGAAAACTGTACACCATTATGCAGTTGATCGATTTTTTTTCAGGTTGAGAAAGTTATTGATCCGAATTCGAAGAACTCGAAGTATAGTGTTTTCTTTTATGGTACCGGAGAAACGTGAGTAATTATTATTATAGTACTTTGAATGGATGGAAAAGAAAATTTTATTTGTCTGAATGTAGTTAACCTTTCATTATAAATGACATTATTGAATGTGAAATGCTCGATGTATATTAATAGTGACAATAGTCATAACAACTCTAATGGAGCTGAAGTTTTATTATTTCGTTTTGTATTCGCACCAAATAATTTTTAGAAAAAACGTGGATGCATGGAAAATAGACTCTTATCAAAGGAGTTAAGATGTTCTGAATTTTAAATGATTTGTTTCAGTGCTGTGTGTAAAGTGGAAGAGTTATATACATACATTGAAAATAAAGCAAAATTTGCTAAACCAATAAGAAGAAAATTTTTTCACGAGGGTTTGGTGCAACTAGAGCAAGAGCTTAAAAATGACAGAAACAAATCAGTACTTTCTGATCTCAAAGGTATTATACATTATACATTATACATTACGGTACAAGATCTTTCTTTACAAAACCTATGTAAACAAACAACATACTATTGATGAAGATGGATCAAAAGAAGGTGAAACCGGGATGGATTTACCAACAGTCAGTGCAATGGATAGTGATATGGAGTCAGGATCATTGGTTATCGATGAAGAGGAAAAAAAGAAGTCTATGAAGAGGAAAACTATGCTGGGTGTCTCTGCAAATCCTGTAATATACTTTCATTTATGTATTTTTGTTTAGGCTTAAGTACATATAAATATAAATATTAACATAAGAAATTTAGTCAGGAGTTCTAGCTCATTACAATCGGTACCCTTTTAAGACAAAAAGCTATTGAACTGAGCGCTCCGATAGAAACGTAGGAATTGCCGACAAACATTTGTAAAGCTTGAATTGTTTGTGCGATTATTCCTCACAGCAGAGCGATAATTTTAATATTGAAATTATTTGCTACGCTCCGGCATAGCCGGCTAAAACATATTCATCACTTCAGGACACACCCGAGATCAGAAAGAGACGCGGGAAAGCGAAATCATTGCCAGCATCGACAAGTGACTCAAGGCACGATTCTGCCTTAGATTCGCAAGGGGAAGAATCACCTAAAGAAGTTGTGAGCCGTAGTGGCAGGAAGATAAAACCCAAAAGATTTGCTGACTTCTCAAGTTCCGAAGAAACAGACACTCCAGAAAAGAGCGGTATAAACTTAAATCAATATTAAAATATTAGTAATTACTTACAAAACTGCACTCCTTATTAATTTTAATGACCTGAAATCAGAGAGGTGTATTTGTTTCTAAATAGTACTTGAGCTTGATTCATTAGAATTTTAGCCAATTAGTATATTGTGTGCTTTAGAACATGGCAGAGGCCGTGCTAAAGTCAAAATTGAAGATTCTAGTGATCAACAAACATCACCTGTGCAGCTTAAGAAAAGGGCTACTTTAGAAAGTAAGCACCTAAAAGTAAATATGTAATTTAGATTATAGGATATAAAATTTTAAGTTTGGTGTACTTCACAGAAAAGAATAACGCAGGTGAAGCACCAATATTACAAGGCACTGTAGTATCCGGTACCACATCCTCCGACGCACCAGGACGATTTCTGTTGGCATTACCGTTTGCTGGCGAATATGTAGGCATTAAGTTAGACATGGACAAGCCAAAGTCTTTTGAAAGTGAGAAAGCTCGTTCACAATGGGAATGGTCGACTGCTAGGAATGCTATGAAATTGAAAGCACAATTGGAGAGCGGTGAAATCTTGCCGGAACAGGTGAAAGATTGTTTGGACTTCAGCGTACATGTTCCTGAAGAGGAGAAGCGGTTGTTAGCAAAGGACGGAGCACTTCACCGAAAAACAAACAAGCTAAGGTAGCAAGAAATAGATCGACGGGTTAAAATTTCGATTCGCTGACCATCAATATCTATTTTAGATGGCTGCGCATAGAAGCGCAACTGTTACAATTGGATGCTCAAATCAAGTCGAATCTGGGATTAGATCGAGCAAATCCAGACAAATGCCTTCAGGCAATGGACGATATGTTGTCGCTACCAATCGATCCCCTAATGCTGAAGAAACATCCACACATCGTGGAAACAGTTAAGAGGGTATGAAAACATTCCGTTGTTTCGATCGAATTTCTTAGATGTTTTCATTATACTGTGAATCTCTTTTAGTTGCGGCGATACATTGGTAACTTGACTGATTGGAAATTAACCGATGAAGAAGAGGTAAGGATGTTTACAACCCAGTATGCGGATGGAGTGTTAATTGAATTGTTACCAATTATTTTATTTAACCTTTGGTTTACAGGCTACTTTCAAACAGAAGGCAGAGCAAATTAGACAAAAGGCGGAACACATATACAACAAATTTAAGGTAATCAGGTTTAATGTGACTATTTGTACGCAGCGAATAAGTGTACACTTTTTGTTCCCGTTGACAACACGCAGGCTATGTTTACCATACCCGAAGGTCAGTCGTTTTGGCAATCATTCTCAGACCAAGTGGTCCATTTCAAGGAGTTGACGAAGGATATGCCCGAGGAAAAAGTATTCTCTTTAATGTCTGATCCTGCTTGTCAAGGTGAATAATTTGCTTCGCGTTTAACGAGATTGTGTGAAGTTAAATCAGAAGAACATACCCGACCCTGCTGATGCAGAAACTAAACTTGCAGATGCAGCTACGTCAGAGGACTCACCCGCGGATGAGAGTGGAAGTCAACCAGATACAGACGCGGCCGTCGAACCAAAATCAGAAGTGCCTACCAGAAGCGAGACTCCGAAAGAATCAGAGGCCAAGTAATAAGTGATCTTTTGTATCCAATGATGTGAAGGAATCATGCTTACTTTCATTTTGTACTAATGTAGTACTATAACGACACGAGTGTCTTAAAGCTGAAAAACAAAATGCAAAAGAGATATGAGTTCGGTTTTTAACACTTGGATATCACCTTTGGGAGAATTTTGACACTATATTTTATTCAACGGATATCTTCTAGGAAATTTTCTTGTCGTAATCGTAAACACAAACTCCTTACAATATCTGTAACTATGAAGCCGTGACACTAATGAACAGCTTTTAACTCTTTTAATAATGTTACGAACATTGGCTAATCGTAATGCACGTAGTATATAATAGAGGATAGGTATCATCATCATTCATTTCTACTATTAAACAAACACACGGTTTCTTTACGATTGCAATTCTGTTCGAATATTCGTGACAACAAAACAAAAACAACAACAACCAAAATTGGGGAAAATGTATTTACAATGACAATATAGGTATCTCCGTTGTCGAATGTCTTGCAAAGCTTGTTTACTTAATTAGAACAGACAACAATGTACATAATATCGAACACAAAATTGAAATTCACAATAACTCTCTATATTCAACGATTCGTTGTCCGAAACCGCGGCACAAATACCAACGTAAATTCATTAATTGCGAAGCTTAGGATTGTCGCGCGTCTCAGTCTGTATTTTGTTCCTTTGGTTGTGAGTGTTTTCATCGCACTTTCAAGGCATCAAGTGAAGCGTTAATAAATAGTCTACGTTCCAGAGACGTGAAGAAAAATTGTTATATATTGGTTAAGTATTTTTTGAACGTGTTCGCTACTATTTCCGGATCGTACAAAGTCCGAATAGTAGGTTTTATCGAATCGCAGCTGCAGGGTATCGTACAACAATTTTTATAGCAATAGTAGTGTCTAAATCAATGTGGGTAAGTATCATTCTGTTGAAAGAATGACATTTTTAAACTAACAAAGCGTAACTAATACGCTACGAAAAAACGTAACTAAAATACGGCGTGAATTTGAACCTAAATTTTTGCTGACTCAAAACACGATAGTCTGTTGTTGTTGATTGTTTTTTCCCTTTGGAACGATTCCTATTACGCGTCACTCTAATACTAACGGAAATGTACTTTTCACAAGGACCTAAGAGAACAACACATACTGTAAAAATAATACTGTTAATAAAATCAATTGGTGTATTTGTTTCTGTCGAATGACGAAACCACACATTCTTATTGAGTTTTGTTGTTACTGCACAGTTTGTTTATTTTCACGATGATTCGAGCGAATGCCTTTGAAGTGCATTGAAAACAGAAGCATCGAGCAAATATTTTCTGTTCCGAGTTCTTTCTCCTTATAATTTTAGTTGTTTATCATTAAAAATAATTACTATAAGATCTACGGTTGATCGAAAAAATATTTCTACATCCAGACTCTTTTTCCTTAAGAAAATTCGATGCGAAAGAAAAATGCATCGATACGATCGAGATATTTTCAAGGTCCCGATTTTCTCAATATATTTTTTTGGTTCACACAGAGTGGTTGAGGAAGAATTGGGTGCATAAATAGTTTCTAGATCCGCTGCATTCAATATTTGTCCATAAGTACACGGATAAATATGTTGTATGTTAAGTAATTCATATCTTGATTATTAAAAAGCTAAATGTTTATTTCAAATGTCAAAAAGTATATAATATTTTGAATAAAAAATTGACAACAGACTTCTACAGTTCCTGCACGCATCTTCCTGTAAATTATTTCTACACGTCATGGCAGGTATATATACATACCCTCCTGTGTATATGTTTTAGTAGATCCAAATTTTCGTCATTTATACTTAGCGTACCATCTTGGAATTTCTTTCGAAAAATTGCACCGAGGGGACCTTTACTATTGTGAACGTTTAGCTAAAAAGTATGTAAATAAATCCGTCGATCCTTGTCTATTACTCACCGAAACAGCGGTGATTATACATATTTAGCTAACTCTTTAAAAATCTACAATGGCGTTGCGGATGGAATGTATGTAATTACAGATCAACATTAATAATGCAGCAGGTTTCGTTGCATGCGAAGTAATTCTGCGACATTCCATTTAATATTTCATTTTGTTAGATACCGGAGAACTATAGCAGAGAGAACGATGTTTACTTATTCTATTCGTAGCTGATGTCATTGAGAGCCTAGATCAAGCAGTGCGGAACAAGCAATTCCAATCAAGAACAAACCGATTGCAAAACTGGCCCGAGGAAAATCGAGGAGAAAGTAACACGAATGTTATCGGTGGCGTTCATTTGCTCTAACGAGGAAGTTAGACATGGCGTACCCGTCTCGATGGACTTACCGAGCAATACTATGGTGTCACATAATTTTCAAGATCATGGGTCTGTCGCCCATATCCATCCACTATGAGGATTCGAAGACCAAACGCACACTATTCTTCGGACGAAGTAAAATCGGGATTTTCTACAACGTGTTCCTCACCATCTCGCTCGTGGCGTTGAGCTTTATTACCCTGCCGCGGCTGTACCATAGGTCATACTTAAATCAATCCTCTTTAACATGCGTCGTAGAGATGGTTCAAGCAGCGTATGGAGTCTTGATGGTTACTACGATCTTACTGTGTTACGTCTTCAAATGGTCTATCCAGAAGAGGATCTGCAATTACCTGGTGCATGCCGAAGGACAGTTTCGCTTTTTTCGGGAACCGATCAGCATCTATCCCACCCTCCGGAAGCTGTTGATAATCTACATCGTCCAGACGATCGTGTGCATCAGTGCCGTGGTCACCGAGGAGATCTCCTTCCACAATGGTCCTCTCGGATGGGCCCTGGACTTCTTGCCCACGGCTTTCGCTGCCAATATCTTATTTCAATACTTCTCGGTGATCAGCCTGATGACTGTAAACTTCGTCAGAGCTAACGAGGCTTTCGAGAGCGTCTGCAGAAGCTCCATCGTCGACTCGAAGTCCTTGAACCGATGTCGCCGAGTCTTCGTCAACTGCTCCATGCTCCAGTACCTTCGGCATCTGAGGAACATCTACGACGGNAGTCGGAGAACTACAGCGAAGAGAACGATGTCTATTTGTTGTATTCGTAGCCGATGCGAAGGGAAGAATAGATCGAACAGTGTGGAACTAATAATTTTAATTAGCATACCCGGCAAATCTTGAAAACAAACTGATTGAAAATTTCATCCGAAGAAAATCAAGAAGAAAGTAACGCGGATGTTATCGGTGGCGTTCATTTGCTCTAACGAGGAAGTTAGACATGGCGTACCCGTCTCGATGGACTTACCGAGCAATACTATGGTGTCACATAATTTTCAAGATCATGGGTCTGTCGCCCATATCCATCCACTATGAGGATTCGAAGACCAAACGCACACTATTCTTCGGACGAAGTAAAATCGGGATTTTCTACAACGTGTTCCTCACCATCTCGCTCGTGGCGTTGAGCTTTATTACCCTGCCGCGGCTGTACCATAGGTCATACTTAAATCAATCCTCTTTAACATGCGTCGTAGAGATGGTTCAAGCAGCGTATGGAGTCTTGATGGTTACTACGATCTTACTGTGTTACGTCTTCAAATGGTCTATCCAGAAGAGGATCTGCAATTACCTGGTGCATGCCGAAGGACAGTTTCGCTTTTTTCGGGAACCGATCAGCATCTATCCCACCCTCCGGAAGCTGTTGATAATCTACATCGTCCAGACGATCGTGTGCATCAGTGCCGTGGTCACCGAGGAGATCTCCTTCCACAATGGTCCTCTCGGATGGGCCCTGGACTTCTTGCCCACGGCTTTCGCTGCCAATATCTTATTTCAATACTTCTCGGTGATCAGCCTGATGACTGTAAACTTCGTCAGAGCTAACGAGGCTTTCGAGAGCGTCTGCAGAAGCTCCATCGTCGACTCGAAGTCCTTGAACCGATGTCGCCGAGTCTTCGTCAACTGCTCCATGCTCCAGTACCTTCGGCATCTGAGGAACATCTACGACGGCCTGTGCGAGGTTACCGATGAGATCTCGCAGTTTTATTCGTTCCCGACCCTGATCATCGTTCCCTTTATCTTTTACTCGCTGATATTCAACTTGTACTACCTTCTACAGCCACTGTTTGACAGTGACATGGATTTCGAACTCTCCAACTTCATAAACACCGCCACCTTGATCGTTTACCTCATGTACGACCCTGGTTTACTGACCGCCAAGATCACCATCATTTTGAAAGAGGTAGGACTCCATTTTTGCGCCCGTAACGTTGGCGAATGCTTTTGCTGGCAAGGAAAATTTCGTTTAGCTTTCGGTAAAACAGTTTTAAAATTGCATCTCCCACGATCTCGGACGGATTTTCTAACTGCTGCCACTGCACTGCCAAATTTGATCGTAACCACTGGAATTTCGTAGACACTGATTTATTCGATTATTCCTGGGATTTACGATAGTTTCAAGGGACATGAATCGAGCTTTCCATTATAGATCGAACGGACCGGGGCTATCGTGCAATCAATGTCGAAAAACGCGATCGACCGGGAGACAGAGGCAGAGGTAAAATCGTACAGGCACCGTTAATTGCTCAATAAAACAGTCTTGTTTCTTTCAGCTCAAGCAATTCTCGCTCCAGTTGCTCCATCGACAAATTAAGTTCTCCGCTAACGATTACTTTAACCTGGACAACTCGTTGTTCCAATCGGTGAGCAAACACGATCGATCGATCTCCGTCCTTCCGCTTCCTCGCTCTCGATCGCTTTAAATCGCGGTCCTCAACATTCTCGCCTCCCGTTTTTAGATTATCAGCACGGTGATGGCGTATCTGGTGATCCTTATCCAGCTCGAAACGGGATACAAATCCTCGCACGATTGCCAGTGCAATTGTACGATAGCCTGATAGTTATCCGAATTGCATTTTTCTGGGTACATTCGAAGAGTGTCTTCATCTTAAATGTGAGAAGAACAGAATATTTGGAATAAAATATTAATCGCACGGTTTTACAGTCTCTGCGACCATTTCTGCTCCTTGTTTATTTGTGCTGAGAAGGAAAGGAAATTTCAGATCATCGGTTAAAGTAAATTGCCGTATCTCTGAATGACCCTGCGCCCTTTCGCGAACCACAATCTTCTTGATCTGTTATTTGTTTCAGCACATTTTGTTCCGATTGCATTTCCACACTTAGTCGATGCTCTGCCATTGAAATCGACGATAGCGTCGCGAGCGGGCAGAATTATACACCGACATTGGCAATGCAGCAGTTTTTATAACGTGCACATTGTAAAGTGTACAGTCTGTCATTTAATATTTAATACCGTCGGCTCGGACACTATACCGGGGTGAACAATGCTTAACTTGTTCTATTCGTAGCCGATGCCTAGAGAAGCCTAGATCAAGCAGTGCAAAAACAAATTGATTGTAAAACTCGATTCGAAGAAGTTCGAGAAGAAAGTAACACGGATGTTATTATCGGTGACGGTCGTTTGTTGCGACGAGGAAGTTAAGACATGGCGTACCCGCCTCGATGGACTTACCGAGCAGTACTGTGGTTTCACATCATTTTCAAAATAATGGGCCTGTCGCCTGTATCCTTGCGCGATAAAGATCCGAAGACCAGTAGTGCAATATTCTTTGGGCGAAGCAATTTCGGGATATTCTACAACGCGTTGCTGAGCATCTCGCTCGTAGCGTCGAGCTTCGTCACTCTGCCGCGGTTGCACGATGAGGCATACGGGAGTGAATCCACTGTAACATACACCATAGAGATGGTCCAATCGACATATGGGACCTTGATGATCAGTACGATCTTATTGTGCTACATCTACAAGTGGTCCAGCCTGAGGAGTATCTGTAATAGCCTGATGCATCTCGAAGAACAGTTTCGCTTCTCTCGCGAACCGATCAGCATCTATCGAACCTTCTGGATCCTGTTGATGGTTTACGTCGGTCAGACGATCATGTGCGTCGGTGTCGTGGTCACCGAGGAACTGGCCTTCCACGACGGTCCTCTCGGATGGGTCGTGAGCGTCTTGCCCACGGCTTTCGTGGCCAATATCTTGTTTCAATACTTCTCGGTGATCAGCCTGATGACCATAAACTTTATCAGAGTCAACGAAGCTCTCCAGAGTTTGCACAGAAGCACCAGCATCGACTCGAAGTCTTTGAACCGACGTCGCCGGGCCTCGGTCAACTGTTCCATGCCTCAGTCTCTTCGGCACCTGAGGAACATCTACGACAACTTGTGCGAGGCATCCGAAGAGATCTCGCAGTTTTATTCGTTCCCAACACTGCTCGTCGTCCCTTTTGTTTTCTGTTCGTTGGTGTTTAACTTGTACTATCTTCTGCTGCTACTGTTCGACGACGACACGTACTTCGAACTCTTCTCCTTCATCAACGGTGTCTTCTTCATCGTCTATCTCACGTACCCCCTTGGTATACTGACCGGCAAAATCACTGACATTTTGGACAAGGTAGGGGGCCAATCTTTGCGCCCAGAACTTTGATTTACGCTTTTGATGGTGGAGGTAATTTTAACTAAACATTGGGTCTGGGAAAAAGTTCGTGACGTTTTGTTAGTAAAATTCAACTGGATTTCTTATATTGTGAAAACGAATTTATTTAAACCAAATATGCTCCATTATTATCGACAATGTTTCGCCATTTCTCGGGTGGAATCACGATGCCATCGGTGAAGAACTTCTGCGGTTTCTGTTTAAAAAACTGAATCAAGTGGTTTTCACAGGCTTCTTTTGAAGCCAGTTTAATTCCATTGAGAGAGTTCTGCAGAGATCGGAACAAGTGACAGTCAGAGGGTGCTATGTCTGGACTATGCGGTGGGTGCATCAAAATTTCCCAACCAAGCTCTCCCAATTTTTTACGGGTCGTCAAAGAAATGTGTGGTCAGGCGTTGTCGCGATGGAAGACAACACTTTTCCTATTATGCAATTCGGGCCATTTTTTTTAATTGCGTGGCATAATCTCTCTAGTTGTTCACAGTAGAGTTGAGGATTAATCGTCCGATCAATTGGAAGTACCTCATGGTGGTCGATTCCTTTCCAGTCCCACCACACACATACAGTATCACCTTTTTTAAGCGTCAATCCTAGCTTCGCAAACGCTTGTGACGGCTCACCATCTTTTGTTCACGATCTTTGGCGCTTCNAGTATCACCTTTTTTAAGCGTCAATCCTAGCTTCGCAAACGCTTGTGACGGCTCACCATCTTTTGTTCACGATCTTTGGCGCTTCCGATTCTCGTACGTGATCCATTTTTCATCACCGGTTATGACACGTTTCAGAAATGGCTCGATTTCATTACGTTTCAGCAGCGCGTCACAGATGTTGATTCGATTCATCATGTTTTCCGCGCTCAACTCATGAGGAACCCAAATATCCAGCTTTGTGTAAATGGTTTAAAACACTTTTGTGGTCAATGCCTAGTTCCATACCAATATCGACACTGCTAATGTTCTTATCCTGCTGGACTTTTTCAACAATTTCATTAGCTTTTTCGGTAACTGGACGACCAGAGCGTGACTCGTCTTTCACATCAAAATTACCAGAACGAAAGCGAGCGAACCATTTCCGCGCAGCTGATTTTGATAATGTACCTTCACCATACACAGCACAAATTTTTTCACAAGCCTGCGCAGCGTTCCTCCCTTTGTCATAATAGTATTGTAAAACATAGCAAAATTTCTCATTATTTCTCTCCATTTTCAAACGCCAACAACTTTCCAAGTATTGCACCACCACGATGTTTATACGCCGCAAATAACGTTCAATGTGTTACCTTTAAATGAAGCGTTTAATGGTATCGTTGCAATAAGTTGTTCG